TTCGATACTGTTGACCATAATATTCTATTAGAACAAATAGAGCATGATGTCGGTATTACAGGTACTGTGCTGCAGTGGTTTGAATCATATCTATCTAATAGACTCCAATTTGTTCATGTGGTGGTCCTCTTCACACTAAGGTTAATTATGGAGTTCCACGGGGTTAATGTTAATAATGTTGATAATAAAATAATAATACCATATGAACAGCTGCACAGCATCATGGGAAACAACAATAAAGCAGGCTGATGTGTTTATGATGTCACTGCAGATATTTGTGTTCTAAAACGCAGTATGGGAGGAAGTGTCACTGAGCGTGCTCTGAAGGATGACGCTGCTTCAGAGGTCGTCGTCTTCACCCTCATTTGCTGGGACACCATGGTCTGTAAAGCTGTCGCTCGAGTGTTTCATTTCATTTTTGATCGCCCACTCTGTTCCAGCCACATGATTGGCGGAAACAGTGTTGTTCTCTCATTGGCCTTCCACGCTGTCCTTCGAAACGTGGAGGAATAAGGTCTGTCAACTTTGTCATGTCTCACTTTTCTTTCGAGGAAAAGTTCCTCAATGATTTATCGTCATTTTAATTTTACACGTTGATTCTGATCTTTTGTGACATTATCTCCTGTGACGCTCTGTGTTATACTGCGGTCACACTGTCTCTGTACCATTGCCATGGTAACATGTTGCAGGGTCCATTAATAGTAGTCTTTGTACAGAGGTTTGCTCTGGGACACAAGAAGTGTCAGTAACTGCTGCACTTCATCATTATTATCTTCAACAGACCAGCTGTTCCCATATGGGTGGGGCTTCAGGTGTGGGTGGGGCTTTTGAGTGGTGGTTCTCATGTTTATGCAGATGTTTTGTGCTGCAGATCAGTAAGCTTATTGATTACTGGCTGCTGGCATCTCTTTAATAAAACTTTATTAGTATCTAAGTTCAGGTATTGTTGTTGAGTTCAACTCCGCCTTTGAAAACACGTAAACACTCCTGTCCTTGCCCACATGCACTCTGATTGGCTGCTGTCTGTCTGCAGGTCACACTCGGGTCCAACATGGCGGCGGCGTCGTATGACCAGCTGCTGAGGCAGGTCGAGGTGTTAAAGATGGAGAACTCAAACCTGAGACAGGAGCTGCAGGACAACTCCAACCACCTGACCAAGCTGGAGACAGAGGCCTCCAACATGAAGGTGAGTGCTTATCTGAGCAGGTGCTGCTCTGTGTGCGTGCCTGTGTGTGTGCGTATGTGTGTCTAATGGTTTAAATATATTGATCAGTCAGGCTCCGTAGGTGGCAGCGCTCACATCAGAAACATCAGATGTTCAAATGTTCCCTCAAACTTCCAGTTAAAACTGCAAACAGATAAGATTTAAATAAAGTTTTTTCAGTCTGTGACTCACAGCTGTTTTAAACTTTATCAATCTGTTCCAGTTATCTTCTTGAAGTTGATTATCTGCTAAAGCTGAATTTCTGTTTGCCATAAGAGGGCGCAGTGACCACAACTCAGTGTAAAGACTGTATTAAAATGATGGCCATTAAAATTAATAAAGGCTTTTTTTTTCTTTTTTTTAAAAACGTATCACTAGGGATGGGTACCGGTATCATGGCACCGGTTCTGACATAAACGGTAGTAACCAGACCGAAAAGCAGCGCACATTTCGGTGCTTTTTTTTTTCGGTGCTTTTTTTTCCCCTGAGATGTCATACACTTTGGATTCTAGCCAATCATTTTACCTTTGCAAGTGTAGTAGGCGGGCCCAGGTACGTACGTTCTTTTAGAGCAGAGCTACAGATTAAAAACGCCCAAGATGAAGCGGTCAGAGGTCTGGCTGTACTTCACAGCAAAAGCTGCAAACTCAGCAGCCTGCAACAAGTGCTTTAAGGTGATACTGTGCAAAGGAGGTAACTCCTCGAATCTGATGAAACACCTGGTGACGCATAGCGTTTTTTTTATAAGCTGAGAAATGCGCCGTATTTGATAGCTTGCTGCGAGACCTCACGCCGTGCACATCTACTGCGGGTGTGGTGCCTGTTATCGGACCGGAGTTAGCAACATCCCCCAAAAAACCCAATTAGGAGAGTCCTGGCCCCTAGCCCTGCCAGTGTAGCAGAAATCATGACGGATGATGATGCAGCAGGAGCTGTTCTTCTCTGCGTGAGTAGCTTAATGTTGTTCATGTGTAATTTAGGTTGAGTAGGCTAACCACGTTATTACATTAATGCATGTAAGGTGAACTAGCAAACAGCGTCGTAGTTACATGCGGCTGTCTTCTTGTTTGATGGCAGATACTCCCTTCACCCTGGACAAAAAGGCTAAAATGACCAAAGAAGAAGTGGAAAACAGCTAAACATGAGAGGTTTTTGGACAAAGTTTGTGTTCTCCATTCTTTAAGCACCGGCACCGTTTCAAAAGTACCGGTTTGGTACTGGTATCGGATAAAACCTAAATGATACCCATCCCTGCTTATCACAGGGTGTCACATGTGTGTTCATACGTGTGGCCACGCCCCTGCTGTTGCAGTGATTAGTCAGCTGACTGCAAGAGCAAAACTTTATGCGTGTGTGTGTGTTTGTTTTGCGCTCTCTCTCTTGCTCTTTCTCTCTGCGTATGCAACCGGTGTCTCTCGCCCTAAGGCCTAGAATAGCTGCACTGCTGTTTTTGTCCAATCACGTGCTGCGGACCGGGAGAATGAGGTCGTTGTTGTTGGTCAGAATGAGGCGTCAGAGGATCTTTGGCGTGATATGGAGGAAACGGGCAGAGTGAGCACTCTGTCCTTTTAACTCTTTTTCCATCAGTTTTCTTCTTCCTGTTTGCAGCATTTTGTCCTCTTCCTCTCTTCCCTGTGATTTTACTGAACTTCGATTCTTCATATTTTTCCTGCTCCGTGGAGCTCATCCTGCACGTTTTCAGCGTGTTGGAGTTTCTCTCGTGGTCGGTCATCTTGAAGTTGGATCTTTATTGTTCATGTTTTTTGTTCTCGTTATTGTCCCGTCCTTCGTCTCCAAACACACCCTCACTTCCTACTTCCTGTTTCCCATTTCCTGGTTTGTGTCGATGAGTGAAGACGGTCAGAGTGAGTTTGGTTTCCATCATGTCTCTGTTTGAACGCTGCCGACTCATCGTGGTGAGTGATCTCTGCTTTATTCTGAAAGCGACGCGTTTTGTTCTGTGTGCTGCAGAAACAGCGTATGAGTGTGTGAGAGAGAGTATTAGAGGGTCAGAGCAGGAACTGATTTTATCCTCTTTGTTTTCTTTCTCATTGTGAGCAGGAAGTGCTGAAGCAGCTTCAGGGCACCATAGAAGAAGAGTCTGGGGAGGCTTGTGGCTCTCAGCTGGAGCTCATTGGACGGTTAAAAGGTGAGTCTGACACATCCAGACGCAGGTCGAAGAAGAAGCAGCTCAGCATGTGCTCACTGAGTTTCCCACCCTCAGAGCTGAGTCTTGATTCGGCCGGCTTTAAGTCCCGATCCCGCCCTCTCCTAGCCCCCGGCTCCACCTCCTCATCCTCTGGAGCTCCTGTAGGAGCAGTGGGAGGCTCCGGAGCTCCAGGCCCCTCAACAAGTGCTGCCTTTCCCAGGAGAGGGCTGCCATCTGCGGGCAGAGACGGCCACGACCGCTGCCTGGAGGAGCTGGAGAAAGAGAGGTAATACTGCGTAGCAGTTAGAGCACTACAGAGTACTGAGAGTACTGTAGATACTGAGAACACAGAGAGAATACAATGGAGTAGTGAAAGTATTGAGAGTACTATGAGCATGTTTACGCTAAGCTACAAATGCACACAGTAATGCTTTAGAGGTATTACTGAGGATACTGCTGATGTAGTAGAACCTACATATATCACAGAATATCAAATGGTCAAATTGTTTTTAGCTGATGCAGAAGGTCAGACTATTCAGTTTTCTAATTGTTTCTATGTTTTATTTGCTTCATTTGTTTTTCCCCGCCTATTTCTCCTGCCCTGTGATTGGCTGCTGCCCTTGGCAGGTCTCTCCTATTGGCGGAGCTGGATAAGGAGGAGAAGGAGAAGGACTGGTACTACGCTCAGCTGCAGGATCTCACCAAGAGGATCGACAGTCTGCCGCTCACTGGGAATGTAAGAACTCCTGCAACGGTGTGGGAGTGGGCTAGAGTCAAACTGGTTAATGTTAATGTGTTAATGAGGGCATCCGTGTCAGTTCTCTCTACAGACCGACTTAAATCGCCGTCAGCTTGAGTATGATGCCCATCAGCTGCGAACAGCGATGGAGAAGCAGCTGGGCTCCTGTAAGGAGATGGAGAGGAGAGCTCAGGTAGGAGGAGCTCACCTGCGTCTGTACCCGTATCTGTAAATGTGTTTTGACACCTGTACTCTGTGTTTCAGACTCGCGTGGCTCGGATACAGCAGATAGAGAAAGACATCCTGCGGCTCGGGGTCCGGCTGCAGGTAACCTCACCTGTAAGGATCATATGCAAACACCTCACCTTACACGCTCATCTGTTACCCAGCCTGCGCCTCACTTTCTCTCCTTTCTCTCCAGGTTGAAGGTGCTCAGGGGGCGAGCGAAAGCAGCGGATTGGCTGGGGCGCAGGTGAGCAACTCGTCATGTAACATCACTTGGAATCTTTACTTTGGAATCTCTTCTTTGAACCTGATTTTTAAACCGTCACTCCTGCTGCAGAGCGCAGGCACTCGTTTGGATCACGAGCCAGCCAATGAGACGAGCTATTCTGTGCCTCGACGAATCACCAGCCATCTGGGAACCAAAGTAAGTCTCCTTGACAACAAAACTGCTTCACCTGCGTACCGTTTAACAGTGTCTCACATGCGGGGTACACCTGTGTCACCCCTGGCAGGTGGAGATGGTGTACAGCCTGCTGTCCATGCTGGGGACACACGATAAGGACGACATGTCACGGACGCTGCTCGCCATGTCAAGCTCACAGGACTCGTGCATTGCTATGCGTCAGTCTGGCTGTCTGCCGCTGCTCATTCAGCTGCTGCATGGCAACGACAAGGACTCCTTGTTGCTAGGTAACGGTCAAGTCGTTCAGTAGTGATACATATGCCTGTTGCCATGTGACCTCACTCGTTTTCTTGTGTTGCCTAGGTAACTCCCGTGGCAGTAAGGAGGCACGCGCACGGGCGTCAGCGGCGCTCCACAACATTGTGCACAGTCAGCCGGACGATAAGAGAGGGCGGCGAGAGATCAGAGTGCTCCACCTGTTGGAGCAGGTGCGCCATTACTGCGAGGCATGCTGGACCTGGCAGGAGAATCATGAGAGGGGTGTCGACCAGGAGGACAACCCCAGTGAGTGAAGTCACACACGTGCCCACCAGTGAGCAGTCAGCAGATGTTATGTGTGTAATGTGTGTGTGTCTTCTCAGTGCCGTCCCCTGTGGAGCATCAGATTTGTCCAGCCGTCTGTGTCCTCATGAAGCTGTCCTTTGACGAAGAGCATCGGCACGCCATGAACGAGCTCGGTGGGTTTCTCTGGGTTTGCCTCCCTGTTTCCCGCTCCGTCTCATTTCCTGAACCGTCTTTCCTGCTCCTTGCTTCCTGTTTCCTGTTGCTCACACTGGGGTGTTCTGTCCCTGCAGGCGGTCTGCAGGCGGTGGCGGAGCTGCTACAGGTGGACTGCGAGATGTTCGGTCTGAGCAGCGATCACTACAGCATCACTCTGCGGCGATACGCTGGCATGGCACTCACCAATCTCACCTTTGGAGATGTAGCCAATAAGGTAAGAGGAACTTAATTTACTTTTTCGACTGATTAACCAATCAGATGAAAGGAAGATGATGACCCTCGTGTTGTATTTTTTTTTCAGGCCACTTTGTGCTCTATGAAGGGCTGCATGCGAGCAATGGTCGCTCAGCTCAAGTCTGAGAGTGAAGACCTGCAGCAGGTAAGCACACATGGCTCCACCGCCAACCCATTATGTCACAGCGTCCACCTGTCCTTTAGAAAGATTTGTTAAGTGACCCCTTGCTGTGATTCGCTGTTTCAGGTGATAGCTAGCGTGCTGAGGAACCTGTCCTGGCGTGCTGATGTTAACAGTAAGAAGACGCTACGTGAGGTCGGCAGTGTCCGAGCGCTGATGGGCTGCGCTCTCGAGGTGCAGAAGGTAAACGTTCTGTTCTTCTCCTGTTAATGTTTCTACACTAAGCATGCTCTGAAACCATTTCTTCTTCCTGTCCTTCTACAGGAGTCGACGCTGAAGTCTGTACTGAGTGCGCTCTGGAACCTGTCGGCTCACTGCACAGAGAATAAGGCTGATATCTGCGCTGTGGACGGTGCTCTGGCGTTTTTGGTGGGGACACTGACGCATCGCAGCCACACCAACACACTCGCCATAATTGAAAGTGGTGGTGGCATCCTGCGAAACGTCTCAAGCCTTATCGCCACCAACGAGGCGCACAGGTAAAGTAAACTTGGGTAAACAAAGCGTTGGATATGAACTTGCACTGTCTCTCTGACTATTCTCCCTGTTCTTGTCCTGCAGGCAGATCCTACGGGAACATGGCTGCCTGCCAACGCTGCTGCAGCACCTGAAGTCTCACAGCCTGACCATTGTGTCCAACGCCTGTGGCACGCTCTGGAACCTCTCTGCCCGCGACACCAAAGACCAGGAGGCCCTCTGGGAGCTGGGCGCCGTGGGCATGCTGCGCAACCTCATCCATTCACGCCATAAAATGATCGCCATGGGCAGTGCCGCTGCGCTGCGTAACCTGATGGCCAACCGCCCAGCACGCTACAAGGATGCCAGCGTGGTGTCTCCTGGTGCAGGCGCCCCATCACTACAGGCCCGTAAACAGAAAGCTTTATTCGAGGAGCTGGATGCACAACAGCTGTCGGAGACCTTCGACAACATCGACAACCTGAGCCCCAAGGCGGCGCACAGGAAGGGGCGGGGCTGTAATGGTGCCACAGGAGGAGCAGGCAGCGTCACGCGCTCATATACCAACACGCCGGTGCTATCGAGCCCAAAGAATGGAGACGGATCAAAGAGGGCAAGCGAGGAAGCAGCATACACTCGCTCAGTGTTCCCGCCCAGCGTGCGGGCGTCCAGCGACAGCCTTAACAGTGTGACGAGCGCTGATGGTTACGGCAACCGTGGGAAGACCAAACCGTCCTCTGAACCCTTCTACTCGTCAGACGAGAGCAGCGCTAACAAGTGTTGTGTCTACAGGAAGTACCCAGCTGATCTGGCCCATAAGATACGCAGCGCCAACCACATGGCGGACGATGACGGCGGAGAGCTGGACACGCCCATAAACTATAGCCTCAAGTACTCTGACGAACAGCTGAACTCTGGGCGCCAGAGCCCTAATCATCGCGGCGCCATTGAGAGCGATGATGACAGTGAGCAGGACGCCAGACTGAGGAGGAACGACGGCAGTGATTCAGCAGCCGGTAGCGGGCACATGGCAGCAGTTTCGCCTCCACGCTATGTCGTTGTCACAGCAACGTCGAATTATGGTACAGAGTCTACGACCGAGCAGCCAATCGACTACAGCTTAAAGTACGGCACTGATGCCACACGTAAAAAGCTCTTCAAACCAGAGGAGACCACCTCCTCCTCTATTCCACCACCCCCTTCAAACTCTGCCAGCAAGCTCCGCCCACCACCTCCTCCCAGCACCCGGGGGGCGCCAAAAAGCAACCAGGAGTCGACACAGACATACTGCGTAGAGGACACACCCATCTGCTTCTCCAGAGGCAGTTCGCTATCCTCGCTGTCCTCTGAAGAGGAGGAAGACGGTGATGTCATAACAAGAAAGAGGAAAGGGGGGAGCGGCGGCGGTATCGACTACCCGACACTCCCTGTCAGTGAGAAGGACGCACATGAGCAGCAGCAGCGAAAAGAGGCTGAGAGCCAGACCACTGCTGCACCATCCACACGGGGGCGCCGTAGCCACCACCACCACCATAGCCATCATCATCACCACCATCACCATGTGAGTTCATCAGGCGCAAGGACTCCTAAGAGCCCGCCGGAGCAGCCGTACGCTCAGGAGACACCGCTGATGTTCAGCCGCTGCACGTCCGTCAGCTCGCTCGAGAGCTTTTCCACCTCCTCCATTGCCAGCTCCGTGCGTTCCAGCGAGCCCTCCAGCGGCATGCCGAGCGGCGTGGTGAGCCCCAGTGACCTGCCCGACAGCCCAGGTCAGACCATGCCACCAAGCCGTGCCAAGACACCACCACCGCCGCAGAAGACGAAGGAGGAGGAAAAGGCCAAGAAGAAGGATGAGGAGGAAAGCAGTGCCGACGTACTGCTGCACTTTGCCACCGAGAGCACGCCGCATGGCTTCTCCCGTGCCTCCAGTCTGAGCGCACTCAGTCTGGATGAGCCCTACATTCCCGCGGAGATGAAAAAGAAGAAAGAGGAGGATGAGGGTGGGGTTGAGGAGAGGAAGGAAGAGCCTCCTAAACCCATCCTTGATGAATCAGATGATGACGATGACATTGAGATCCTGGAGGCATGTATCAACATGGCCATGCCCAAATCATCACGGAAACCAAAGAAGCAGCAGCAAGCAGCACCACGGAAACCAAGCCAGCTTCCTGTCTACAAAATCCTCTCACCTCAAAGCCGTGCCCAACCGCAGCCCAGGAAGGACATGCCGCCGCCGGAGGAGGTGCCCAGAGTTTACTGTGTGGAGGGAACGCCGCTCAACTTCTCCACTGCCACGTCTCTTAGTGATCTGACCATTGACTCCCCACCCAATGAGCAGATGGGAGCGGGCCTCGTACCTGTAGCCCAACCCACCTCTGCCCCTAGGAGAAGGGCAGGGTTTCCTGAGGGCGAGAACGGAGATGACATTCTCGCCGAGTGCATTAGTGCCGCCATGCCCAAAGCCAAACCCAGGAAGCCTGTCAGAGCAGCAGCAAACAGCGAGCACTTGCAAACCCCGCCTTTACCGCCTCCTCTCCCTCCAACGGCCCCGTCTCCCCTTGGCCTGCAGCAGCAGAAGAAGAAGCCAACATCGCCTGTGAAGCCGATGCCTCAGCGGGCGCTGTATGGCGTCACCACAACAGCAGCTGCAAAAGCAAAGCCGGGATTCGCATTTGACTCGCCGCGCCACTACACACCGATTGAAGGAACGCCATGCTGCTTCTCACGCAATGACTCACTGAGCTCGTTGGACTTTGATGAAGAGGATGGCGGCGAGAAGGACAAAGAAGAAAAGAAGGCAAAAGAAGAAGAAGGCAGGAAGAAGAAGCAGCAGACAGCTGCCGTTTTTCCACGCACAAAACCACCGACCAATCAAACGGCCACGGACGAGAAGCAGAAGTTCGCTATTGAGGACACGCCCGTATGCTTCTCCAGGAACTCCTCGCTGAGCTCACTGAGCGACATCGACCAGGAGAACAACAACAAGGAGTTTGCCCCACCCCCGCCGGAGCAGCAAGACAAAGGCAAAGAGGGGGCAAAGTCTCCACCCCCTCCAGCAGAGGTGTGTCTAGATACTTGAGTAAAGTACTTAGAGCAGAGAGTACACAGAGTAGTACTCAGTGTAGAGAGTACACAGACTAATACACAGAGTAAGGCGTAATTAGTGTAGTGTGTACTGTTTACCTTGTTTACTTGTTACTTTGTTACTTCCTGCTGGAGTTACAGTTTTGCTTCACAGAAATGTATCAGTCTTGTGACAGATGTCCCTCTGTGCTCCTCTATCCCTGATAGGTGGAGTCAAAGCCTCGCCCCCCTGCGGCCACTGGCTACGCACCTAAAGCCTTTCATGTTGAGGACACGCCCGTGTGCTTCTCCAGGAACTCCTCGCTGAGCTCACTGAGCATAGACTCGGAGGACGACTTGCTGCAGGAGTGCATCAGTTCCGCCATGCCCAAGAAGAAAAAGAAAACCACCACCCTCCCTGTACCCGCCCCGCCTCTATCTGTCTCCAAAGCTGAAGATGGCATTCTGGCTGAGGAGGAGCCTTCAGATGCACCAAGGAGCCCTGCCTCTCCAGATTCAGAGTCCTTTGATTGGAAGGCCATCCAAGAAGGTGCCAACTCCATCGTCAGCAGCTTGAATGCCGCTGCCGCTGCCTCCTCACTCTCCCGCCAGCCATCATCAGACTCTGACTCGGTCCTGTCGTTGAAATCTGTCGGCTCGCCCTTCCACCTTACAACAGCTAATAACAACGAAGAGGAGGAGGAACCAGAGGAGAAGACAAAGCGAGGCGCGAGGATCCTGAAGCCTGGTGAGCGCAGCACGCTGGAGGCCAAGAAGAAGAGAGAGGAGGAGGAGGAGGAGGAGGAGGAGGAAGCGAAGGCTTTGAGGGGCGGGAAGAAGGTGTACAGGAGTCTGATCACTGGAAAGCCAAGAGCGGAGCCGGCAGCCAGGGGGCGGAGCAAGCCCCGAGCAGCTGCTGTGGCCAAAGCTCCTGGAGGCAGCGATGTAGATCGAGTGGGCGGGTCCTCTCGGGACTCCACCCCATCTCGCTCCACCCCAGCACCCAGTCAGAAAGGAGGGAAGCTCTCGCAGCTGCCACGCACGGCTTCTCCAGGAAGTGCATCATCATCCTCTGCATCCAGGACCACTAAACCCACCACAACCCCGAAGAGTGGTGGTGGCATCCCGAGAAGCGAGTCCACATCGAGAGTCAGTGGCTCCACTGCCGCCAAGAAGCAAAAGGCGGAGCCTGAGAAGCCGGCACTCGTAAGGCAGTCAACCTTTATCAAAGAAGCTCCGAGCCCGACACTGAAGAGGAAGCTGGAGGAGACTGCAGTGGCAGCCGCTCTCGAGTCGCCATCCAGCCCAGACACGCCACTACCTTCAACCGCCAGGAGAAACGACGTCAACCGTTCACACTCTGAAAGCCCGTCACGCCCACAGGAAGTGACATCATCTCGCTTCAGCCGCACCGGCACCTGGAAACGGGAAAACAGCAGCGGGGGAGGCGGAGCCAGCAGCGGGAAACACTCAACCTCTCTGCCGCGCGTCGGCACCTGGAAAAGAACGGGAAGCTCATCGTCCGTGCTGTCAGCATCCTCCGAGTCCAGCGAGAAGGGACGGAGTGAGGAGGAGAGTGCCATGAGATTGAAGGGAACATGGAGAAAGGCAAAGAGCAGCGGCGACCCATTCAGCAACCGAGGCTTCGCCGACAAGTCCGAAGACGTGTGGGTCCGGCTGGAGGACTGCCCTGTCAACAACCCCCGCTCCTCCTCCTCCTGCTCTGCCCGCTCGCCTACTGCCATCAATGCCCCACCCATCATCGACAGCCCCGCTCCCTCCAAGATCCCGTCTTCCTCCTCCTCTTCCTCCTCTAACCTTAACCTGCGCCGCAGCTGCGAGAGCCTTGACGAAAAGCCAGCGCCGATCGAGAGCCGGCCGCAACAGCCGCCGCACCAGCAGCAGCGCGCTCAGCAGCGCAGCGGTGCCGTTGCGGCCCGAGTCAGCCCCTTCAACTACACGCCAAGCCCAAGGAAGAGCAGTGCTGAAGGCACAGCACCCACTACCACCACATCATCTTCCACTACCCCTACGCGGCCCTCCCTTATCCCCACCCCAATCACGAAGAAACGCGAGCCAAAGGGAGGCGAGGGTGGTGGCAGCAGTGGGGGCGGTGGCAGCAGTGGGGGCGGTGGCGAACGCGGCTCATACATCGTGACATCTGTGTAAATATGCAAGACCAACAGGAAGTGTTTATGAGATGAACTGTACAGAAAGTGAGTGTATTTAAGTTCTGTGCCCACCCCCTCACCTGCTCCTCTCTCCTGATTGGCTGCTGCCAGCTGTCCATCAACTCAAAGAAACTCTAACATGAACTTTTTATGTTTTTATACCACTAAAGATGTGTAGCGCTTAGCTCTGCCCCCTGCCTTACCCTGCATGGCCCCACCCCCCTAACATGACAGTAACCATGGACACTGATGATGATGATGTTGATAATTCAGCGCCTTTGATAGTTTTTCATGTTTTTTGAGTTTGGTTCTGAACAGAACAGTTGGATCCAACCAATCAGTGAGCCCCCTCTCAGCTTCTGACCAATCACATTCAGTGTCTTTGAGTCAGTCAGAGACCCGCCCTTCAGTTGGTCATCTGTTCTGTCAGAACCTCTCTTCTTCTTTGGAAGTCTGCTGCCGACTCGAATACCTGACCCACCTGAGACGGTTGACGAGGCATAGCAGAAGACTTTCTGTGTGTCGCCATGGAAACAGATAACACTGTAAACCGTAAGTTATTGCTGTAAACTGAACTGAAGCACATAATTTAAATGAGCAGATTTTTGGTTCTTGATTTTAAATCTGAACATTAAACGAATGCAACACGATACCAGCTTTCTGTTTTTACTGATCCACTTCCTGTCTGCTGTCTGATTTCATGTGACAACATAAATCTGCTGCTCTCTGTGGCTCTGTCAATAAAGTTTGAAACACTGGTGTGACCTTGGGGGCTGACTTGTTTTATTGCAGCTTTAAACAGGAGGTAATGAAGACTATTATAGCCAATCACATTTGACATCTTAGGTGCAGAAAGTTGGTCTCATGATCATTACAAACTTTATTTATAAAACCTGTAAAAAACATCAAAAAAGTTGATGTGAACCGAGAGTGAGGAAATCATCTGAATGCTATCCAGAATATCCAGACTACAGGGAGACCCCCTGTATTCTGGATAGTATAAGTCAAGCTGAGTCGGCTGGTGGGATTGGGCACTGTATAAATATAATTGAATCGATGATGATGAAACGTGTTGGTGATTTTAATGTGTGTCGCGGTTTGGAGCTGATCTGTGGATGAACAGGAAGGTTTAACTTTCACTGGATGTGAGAAGTGAAGGAAAATCTGAGTGAGGCTTAGACTGAGTAGTCTTTAAACAGCCATTCAGCTGCTGTGCTGCGTAAACACCCTGCTGAATAAAGAAACTCAGTCACACAAATGTGTAAAGCAGCAGGTGATGGCGTCTGCAATCTTGGAGAAAGCTTTAGGTAGGTCTTTAAAATCAAAGCAAAAACATTGAGGATTCTTCAGGTCAGATCCAACAAATACTGTTTCATCCAATGAGAATCGTCTGCTCTGAAGGTTTGACTGGAACACTGCTGCCTCTTTTTACCGTTTAATGTGTTTCATGTTTCCTCCATTTGTCTCCTCCTGGACTCAAACAACAGGAGCAGCTCTGGGTTCAGAGGAGCTTCTCTGAAATCATTCAAATCTCTGAGGTAAAACTCAGTGAAGCCACTGCTTCAGCCCCTGATCATCTCCTCCAGCTGCAGGCCCTCCAGATTTTCACCAGAAAGTCAATACTGTGCTCCTCATCCTTCAGCTGAGCTCTCTGAGCAGCTCTCCGTCATCTCTGTGAGCGTCTCCCACTGTAGTTTCTTGAAGGGCATTCAAAGCTGTTGTTTGGATGTTTCTGCCTTATGTTGTGTGCTCTGTCAGGATGATCCCACACTGAACTTTTACTCACAGGTCAAAGTTCAGAGGTCAGGTACAAGGACTGGTTTGAACACATGTCAAAAAAAGCCAAGGAAGAATTTTAAACTTTCAGAAAGCAGGAGAACTTTTGCTCAAGGGCACTTTTAAAATAACCAGAAGGTCTGACTCAAGACTTTTGCACACTACTGCGCAAACATCAGAATCAATAATTAATATACATCCCCATCAGTTTTCTCTTCTCCGCGCTCTTATTTTGACACACTTCACAGGAAATAAGTATGTACATACGTATGCCGTCACTTCAGGCCCGTACCTTCGTCCCCACTTACCGCTGTTTCTGTCTCAGGTGATGGACGCTCAGAAGGTAAGAGTGTGATCAATCGGTGATCAATCGAGCAGTGAGTGAAAGTTAGGGGAGTGAGGGGGGGCGGACGTGGTGGAGGGAGAGGTGCAAGGAAATGGAAGCAGAGGAGGGGGGATTAGCTGCTAGCTGTTAGCGGTTAGCTTCTCTTTCTCTGGTGGACCGAGCTTCAGTGAGAACAAGAGCTGTGCATTATAACATACTGATCAGTCGGCGAGTACAGGTGGGGGTCACATGACCTTTAGCGTGTTCAGACTTTGGGGTCACAATGAACCCTCCAAGTTTCAAAATAAAACCCGTACATCCGAAGTAATTTTCATAGTAAAATACCTCATTCCTGTTCAAATGTGCTTTACTGAGTTTCTAAAAACATACGCGTTACAAAAGCGTGAAATTACAGTTCAGTATCAGTGCACAGCCAACAAAATGTACATGTCAATCATTCAATCAATAGTCAGTCAGTTCATTCTTAGAGCATCATCATCTCAGGGCTACCAGGTGAAGCTTCGATCTGTGCTTTCACCTTTTATTTTGGTTCAGTGTGTCCAGACTTCCTGCCAGACTTCCGTTGAGTCTTTAACCAATGAGAGCGCCATCTGAAGGTCGGACAGCTGCAGTTCTAACAGATGGAGCAGGCAGGTGTGTGCGGGCCAGAGACTGGCAGGATGGTGATGGTTGTATTCACCTCAGCTAGGATGCCAAGCCTTCTTTGGTCCATTATGGTCTACGGAGGCTGATCCTGGTCGAGGTGTTTAACCCGCCTTCTGAGCCGATGCTCTCGTCTGATTGGTCTCTGTCAGGTGTGGAATCAGGAAGATGAGGAGGAGGAGCTCTGTGTGTCTCGCTGTCTCTGCTCTAACAGTTTTGTGATTACTTAGTGCTGCTTAAGGCTTCACCAACATGGAGGAAGGTGCTGTAAAAAATAGTTTATTTTTTAAATGTTTGTTTGTAAACAGGAAGCTCTGCGCAGGATTATCAGCACATTGGCCAGTAAGAACGAGGAGCTCCAAAACTTCCTGGAAGCAGTTGATCACACGCTGACGGGCCTGCAGGTCAGCTCATTAATCAGCTGAATTAACAAAGGGAAGGGCTTAGGTGGATGGGACAAGAGAAACTAAAGGAAAAATAACTAAAGTTAACTTTGCTAAATCAGGAGGAGTCATGCAAGGTGATGTCAGACTTGGAGGCAGAGTTGGAGAAGCTAAACTCTGCCCTGGAGGAGAAGGGGGCGGAGCTCCGTTACATAATCAAAGAAGAGAAGCAAAGAAAGGAGGCGGAGCTTCAGGTAGAAACTTTATTTTTTAATGAATTATTTTTATCTGGAACACTTTATTTTTTAGTATATTATTTAGTTTTACATATTTATTTACTCATTGTTTTTAAAGTGATTTTTTTCTACTTTGCAAATAAATAATATTTTACATTTAATGTATATACATTCATAAATATTTTTTATATCTATTCATTGGCAGCACTTTATTTGTTTCCATTTTTTATTTTTGAAGCTATTGATTGCTTGACTGGGTTGTTTTCTGCATGGTGTTTCAGAAGCAGCTGTCAGAGGGCAAGTTTGCTCTGGTCTCTTGCGAGGAGCTTCTTGACTTTGCAAATCAAACACTTACGATCAACACTGAAGAAGAATTTCTCGCGGTGAGGCGTGATGAAGACAAGGAAGATGATGTCATCAGTTCATTTAAAAAAAACTAAAAATGTTTTTTTGTTTTGTTTTCAGGCAGCAAAACAAATCAAAGAAAGGTATGTCTGATTTGTTTAATGTATAAAGCTGTGTAATGTGTGTTTTCATTGTCATTTCATTTCATTTGATGATATCAGATGTTTGTTTTTGTTTGTTTGTTTACAATGTTTCATTTTGATATCATTGATTCTTCTGAATCTTTTCAAACTAACAAACCACTTACTGAAGCTCTCCAATGATTTGCATACAAACTCCGCCCCAACCTTTCTAACCCCATCCCTAAATACTAACACCTAACCCACCCCACTCCATTGGGATCCGCCCCAACACTGTTACTAGGGTAACAATGGCGCCGGCGTTCCGCCTAACCACTCGCCCTGCGGTGTCAGACAACATGTCACAATTTACTGTGGACTTCAGTGCAGAGAGGGCGGGGCTTCAACGACTTCACTTTCTGCCAGGTCAGTTGACGCAACCAGTTCAGGTGGTTGTTCTGTGAGGTCAGAGGTCACATGTTTTTCTTGTTTCTCAGTGCCGAGAGCTCCACAGATCGATGCCTCCAGTTGTGTAGTCCGTGACAACACCATCACGGTCACCTGGCGACCGCCCGGTGAGGCAGACAGTGGTGGCGATAGCAGCAGCAGACCAATCGAACATTATGACCTAGAGTACCGAAAAACGGACCGTGACAGCACACTGAGAGTGGCAGGAGAGGCATGCTGGGAGAAAGTCTGTGACATTATCGAACCTCAGGTCACCATCTCAGGTAAAAGGTCAGAGGTCATTATTGCATGGCTACAGCATCATTGAGTTTAAACCAATTTCTGCATTTCAGGTTTGAAGTTCGATTCGCGTTTCATTGCCATTCGAGTCCGAGCTAGAAACAAAGCGGCAGCTGGCGAGTTCTCAGAGCCTATCGCCATAGAAACAACAGGTGAGCACACGACGTGGAATATTTAACTGTGTTTGAGGGGCGGAGCCTCAGATAATAATGACGCCTTGTTTTCCATGTTTTTGTCTGCAGCGTATAACTTCAGCTTCGACGCTTCAACAGCGCACGCCGAGCTCAAGGTTCAGGGTGACACGGTGACCTGGGAGCCTCAGGGGGTCAAAGGTCATGATCCTCGCCTGCGAGGCAAAGAGAACAAAAGCAGGTGAGGACAGCTGTTAGTGATGAGGCCGTTGTGTTTTTTAATACACCTGAATGTATCTTAGAAGCACGGTAAAGTTCATCGCTCACAGTATTGTGAAATGCACAGGCTTTTATTGTGAAAGAGAAAGAACAGGAAGATGCACTTTTCTCACCTGTAGAGTGACACACCTGTGCTGGTCAGGTAACGACAGCAGGAGGTGCTCTTAATTCCCTGAAAAAGCTGGTTGGGCCACATCACTTTTTTTGCTGATTTTTCGTATCTCCATCTGTGACTGGACGCCGCCAAGCTGTACATCATCGCTAACTGTTTGTCATTTTATCTCTGACCTCCTAAATAAACATGCTGGCCCTGCCGGAATGGGTCAGCTGATTCAAGAGAATTGTAGAGTCAGGAGGCCACACCTCCTCATTACACATTTACTGATCAGCTGACTCATTCAGAGGTGAGATCGTGATGAGATCACAGCGGCTACCTGTCTCACCAGTTCACACGTGCCTCAGTAAATAACCTTTAACCTTTTTATCCCTCCTCAGTCTCCGTGCTGCTTCCTCTCCAACTTGCTCAGGTAGAAACAATCATGGCTGAGTGGTTTCCTAGCAACCAATCACTCTCTCCATTTGCCATTTTCACATCACTGCTGACATCACATCAGCGTTTAATTTCCTGTTTTAATTAAAAAGTTCATGTTTGGTTTTATTTCAAAATAAAGGCTTAACATGTTTAAAGGAAATGATGTCGTAACATAAACTTTTCTTCCATCATGTAACAAATGAAATGTTTTTGTCACGCTCATCTTCC